TTATCAAACAAAACCAGAATCCTTTTTAACTATAGTTTCAACTTTTATGTTATCTTTCGAGTTTATTGTTGTTGCCTCAAGTTTTGAAATTGAACTTCGTATCTTTAAAAGTCATGTACACTTGCTATTTGCACCAATGAATCTATTCATAGTTGTGCTTTTGTGGTTGTTTCTGATTGGTAGCGTGTTGAAAACTCTGCTATTTGAACTAGGTTGCATCAAGAAACTGGAATTTTTAAACCCTAAACAATGTTCTAGGTCAAAGCAAAAAGTAGAAGTTAATAGCCCGTTAATGACCTGTTTCACTTTTACCTCGACCCTGACCTGACATTGACCCGCATTGACCCTGACCCGACCCCGACCCGCTAAATATTCATCATGACCCGCAACCGACCCGCTCTGCTAATGACCCGCACCACCCGCCCAATAACCACCCCTAGTAGCGGATATTGGGAGTCTAGGAGATCATTAATATAGATTTTCGAATAATGATACGGATGGAGTACATACCAACTAGTCAACAATATTAAGCTAACCCTTGCATTTATGCCTGCCTTCTCTTAAATTTGTTTTTGGTGACAATGCAGATGGTAAGATTTCTACTCGAGCTAGGTGACAAGATAGATAAAAACGCTATGAACAAAAACAACAAGACAATTAGGGACATTTTCGATTATGTAGAACGTAAGAGTACGACAGATGACGAGATTGAAAGATTATTTTTAATTCACAACGCATTACAAAGGAGGGAGCTCTTGTTCCTCATTATGAGGAACACTTTTGTTTCTCATAATGGTATTTTGGAAAATAATGCGATGTTTTTCACTTATGGGGACCATCAATGTGTAATGAGTGGAACTCTCAGATCTTGACACATAATCCATGAGGAACAAAACCTGTTCCTCACAATGAGGAACAGGGATCCCCCATTACGAAGTAGTATGCCAAAAACAGTTGACGAAAAACGGTTGGAGCAGCAAAACACAGCTCTAATGGCGGTGGCTTTTTGTATTGCAACCTTATCTTTCCAAGTTGGAATTACTCCACCCGGAGGCATTTGGCAGGATGAAAATGGTCATAAGGCAGAAACACCCAGATTCCAGATGGTAAAGGTCATTATTTGTACAAATGTGTACAAAGTAGCAACACAGTTGGACTGATATCATCTCTAGGCGTTGTCCTTCTCCTTATTAGCGGGCTTCCTTGCACGCGATTACTAGTGTTCGTTTTGAGGTTTACATTGTGGATTGCTGTAATGGCGAGTGCAGCAACTTACTTCTACACGACAGGGTTTCTCACTAGTGATTTTGTCAACAAAGACATTGTCCAAGATGCTCTAGATTATTCCATCGAGATTTGGCTATGGTTAATGTTACTTGTACTATTGGGATATCATTTTGTGCGGCCTGCCGTGCTTTGTGCTGCGCGCTATATATGGAAGCGAATTGGTTATGAGCGCAGGTTGAAGATTAGAATGTTTCTGTAAAAGATAGCGTTCTATACGAACTTTCGAATGTATTTGACTGAAGATCGGATGTAATTGCTTTTTAATTGAATCAATTCAAGGCTACCCAGTAACAAACTATTAAGACACTATGTATCGAAAGCCTAGAAGTGTGTTTTTATTAAGCCCCTTGAAAGAATTTGCCAGCTTTCTGTTTTTTTTTTTTTTTTTTTTTAATTTTTTTTTAATATATTGGAAAAGATGAATTAATTAAAGGGTTCGATAATTTGTACTTTCATTCTCTTTCTCTCACTAATGTACATAGTACATTCTCTCTATAAATTTCAACCATTTACTTGATCATCGGATTGAGTTCCTCGACGATCCCCCAGGGCAGTTATGTTTGCTTCCTTACACACCCGAGTGCAATTTAGCCATGTGATCAGTAGTCTCTCACCGAAGTTTACCCGAAACAATATATCTAAATATGATGATTACATTGTGGAAAAAAAACATACATTTTTTTTTTTTTTGAAGAACAAAGCATATACATGTAAAAATAGAAATAGGTAGGATAGACGAATTGAATGTGGCACAAGAAAGAAACAAAAAAAAGGGGCGCAAATATGAGTGAAGTGGGGTTCAAACGGTCAAATATCACACTATGAAGTAACATATAACATGTAACATATGAAGTAGTTACTCTGTTATCTTGAGTTCTACTCGATAACATTTTCCTTAGTTTTACTCAATTAATATAATTATGGAATCTAAAGTAAAGTGCAAATGAGAACCAAGTTTTGGGTAGTTTTACTTTTAATAGGAAAGACATAACAATAGACAATTTAATTAATGTAGCTGGGTCTCACAAAATGCAATAGTAAATGATAAAAATTTATAAAAAGTTATATAATAGAATTAAAGTAAAATATGAGCTGATTAGTAAATGAATGAAAATGAAAAGTGATTAAAATCTAGAAAAAAGTCTTATTGTTAAATTGCACATGCAGCCATGCGCCACTTTAATGATGCAATATTATTATTTAGCGGTTACGATTTATATATTTCGAATATCATTTTTCATACTTTCACTTTGTTTTTTTGGAATGCACAATTGAGTTTGCATAATTATCTGAATCACAACTTTAAATCTATATTTTTAATTAAATATTACTAAAAGTCTTAAAAAAAATTATAGAATTGACAATGTGAATAATTCAACAATATACTAGATGATGATAACATTTACGTAATATTACTTCAAAACGTTGGTGCGTAAAGCTTATGATACTGTGCATGGCAAGGTTACGTACGAATCCAATACATTGAGTGAGATTACATTTTTTACTTCGCTCACTTTACTTATCGAATTTTCTTTACTTAATGTTAGCTTGTCTTCATTACATTATCTTTTTGTATATTCACATGTTGGCGTCCTTGCAGCCTTTTACTCATACTTCACATGAGATGCTTGGCAAGTGATCAAGCAATCATACATCAGCACTCAATGGGCGCTACTTTAAAAAAAAAAACTAAAAAATTAAAAAAAATTAAAAAATAAAAAATTAAGTCACCAAATGATTTTATTATAATCAGAGGTAAACTCTCTGTTAATTTCAACTATGTCGGTCTGGACTTTAAATTTTTTGGAAGATGAGTTGAAATGTTGAATAAAGAAAAGCATTGTGTAAATGATATTTGTTATTAGTAATTTAAACATTAGCTAAATGAGATCAGAAATAATAATTTATCACTATGTCCCAATTTAGTTTAGATTTTTAAATTTCTTTTTAATTTTATTTACGCATCACTTTTATTTAGGCAAAGTTTTAACATAGTTAATTTGCTTTAAAATTATACTCCCTTTTTCTAAATTGCAACACTACTTTAACCCGCATTGAATTTATGTAGTTGATTTGAATTTATTAGAATTTAAAAAAAATAAATAAATAAATAAAAATGATAGTGGGTGAAAAAGGTAATGTAAAAGTAAGAGATGCCTGAGAAGTTAAATATTAAAGAAAAAGTGTAAGTGGGCCGGGGATGAGTGTGGTCCATATGAAAACAGAGATATAATTAATAGTATTTGCATTAAATTAAGTTTTGTAATTAAAAGCGATTGTTGTTGTAATTAAATTAAGATTTGTAATTAATATATTTTGATCAAATAATAAGGAGACCGTGAAAGAGATAGCATGTGAGAGAGTAGTTTTTTTTTATTCACTTAGGTGTAAAGACCATGGAAGAGAGAAAAAAGATAAAATCTTTTGAGTTGGGTTTTAGGAAAAAAGATAATATATGATATAATTAAATTATGAAAATAAGAGTGATGTTTTTTATTTTTTAATAAGGCCAGATAAAGAAAGTAGTGATGCATTTTTTTAAAATGTAGGAAATATCAAATAATTAGGGATGTTAGAGCGGAAAAATAATATAAAAGTATGTGTGGTGACTATGAGGAGAGAGATAAAATAAAAAAAATAAGAGAAAATGAAAAAACGATGCATTAAAAAAACAATTGATTTAGAAAAGCAATGATGCATTTCAAACCAAGCTAAAAGGAGTATACAATTTCTATGGCTACAATAAATTTCAATAAATTTTTCTTGAAAAGGCGCGATACGTGTGGGAGAAATTCCACAGTGCAAGATTTGAACTTAGTTTTGGCAAAGAAATACCTTCATTTGATTCAATTGGTTATGATCATGTTAAAGTTGAACTATTTTGCAAATTTCATATGACCTTTTATCAATAAATTGAATATAGTTGATAAAAATATTATAACCTAATTTTTCTGATTTTTTATTTTTTATATATCTACTATCAATATAATAAAAGTGTAGTAGGGTACAATTGGAATTACGTACTTTTTATATTCCTTAAGTGTAGTCTTACAAAGTTTCTCATTCTACCAATTGGTTGTTAGTGTAGTGGTGATTGGGACTGCACATGGTAGGGAGGACCCGTGTTCGATTCCCCGCAACAACAATTGGGAGCAGATTTGAATCTAACCACCCACAACTGATCCTCGAATCCGAATTAGCCCAAAAAAGATGAACCGGTGGAACACCAAAAAATAAAAATAAAATAAAAAAAAAAATTTCATTCTTTCCTTAACTAGCTTATTACTCCGTATATTGGTTGTTACCTTTATCTTGTTTGAACTGATACATTATACCATGCTCTTCCCCAATAACCAACTTTTGAGATACTATATATAGAATGCCTACAAGTATGTATGTATTCATTAAACCAATTAAAATAATTTGTTTTAATATCAGCTTCCTAAACCATTTTTTTTTAAAAAAAAAAACCACACATTTTAAAATGGAAAATCATATTGAAATAACCCATCAAACACTTGCTACAACCCTATATGAAGCCGCACTTGAGAATAACGTCGATTCCTTGAATGAGTTGCTAGGAATAGATCGATTTATTCTCGATCGATGCATCATTGAAAAATCATGTATCATCATGCAGTCTCCATTACATGTTGCTGTCAAAATGGGGCACTTAGGATTCGTAAAAAAAAATTCTAAGTGTGAAGCCGGAGATGGCTGAGTTGGTTGATCAAATAAAAAGATCAACACCACTACACATTGCGGCTGCAAAAAAAGGGTGGTTACCAATTGTCGAGATGTTGCTTGAAGTGAAGCCGAACATGTGTTTCGTGCACGATCAAGATGGAATGACGCCCCTTCATGTCGCAGCAGTAAATGGTAACACCGACGTCCTTAAAGAGTTTCTCAAGAAGAAGCATCAGGCTGCTTTGGAACGAACTACGAAAGGTGAGACTATTTTACATTTGTGCGTTAAAAATTGTCAGCTAGACACATTGAAAGCATTGGTTAAGGATACATATGATCTTGAGTTACTTAACTCCGGGGATAATGATGGCAACACAGTCTTGCACCTTGCTGTGGCTTACAAAGAATATAAGGTACCATAAGATTTAACAATTCAATTCTCTTCGGATTTTTACGTATTAATGTTTATTTTGTTAAGTTGATAAAACTATCATGAATTCAATCGGTTCACATGTCCATCCGTCCATCCTTGACCTTATCAAGCTGGTTTTACTATTTCGTTTTTTTAAATAGGCAAATAAAATTGGTCTCAACAGTACACTCTGAACTATATCTTGAGTACCTAGACCCTTGAATTTTAACAACTAGTCGCTGGCACACCCTAGCTATAGATTGAGGTGTAACACATGCATGTCTCAATTTGAGTGTCTTAAAGTACCCATAAGCATGATACAAAAAGTGGGATTGGGGATTTGGGTCATCTCTTATAAATCTATAACTTATTAGCAGATATTGTTAGACATTGTTAATTTGGAAGACTATACAATGGATACTATAAAATTATGGTCATTATAATAAAATTAAATCTCAATCCTTTATTTTTAAGAAATGATCTTATCCATTCATTTATGACTTCAAAAAAAAAGAAAAAAAAACACTACTTCATGGGCTTATTTGGCATCCTTTTTTCTTTCAGTTTTCAACTTTTTTGAAAACAAAATACTAAAAACAGGAAACAAGAAAAAGGTGTTTCCACTTTTCTATTGTCAGTTTTCAAAATTATCATGATCTAAATAAATTTGGCTAATTTTTGATTTATTATGTTACATATATCATATGATTTGAAAAACTAAAAACTGTTCCGACCCACCGACATCCACCCTAAAAACCTAGAAATTCAGATCCGGCCATGAACACCACCCTCACAAACCCACGAAATCTCTCACAAAACTGACGGAAACCACACCCTTATCAACCACCATATCAACCCACGAAAATCAACTCTTGTAAAATCAACCACGATCGGGTGTCATTTTAAGGATGAACATAGTAGAAACATCCAAAAAAATAAACGTTAAATTTATAAAAATAATGTTCTTTTTTAAACTTCAAGATCAAAACTTATACCTTCCATGGAAAATCCATTCCAACCTTAAAAAGTTCCTACTTTAATATATGCAGTACATGATTACTCTCTTAACTCTTGCTGGTCACATTAAATTATCATTGGCTTTGTATTTTTTCATTCGATTGATGATCGAATATGAATTTCATATTATGTGGGCTGATTGATTGATCACAAATTGCAGAGAATTAGCAATGGAAACTTTCGGTAGGAGTAGTTTATTTTTAAGGTAGTTTTTTTTGGTCAACTTAATCAACTGTACTAATTTATGTTAAGACAATCAAGGTTGTAGATTTCATTGTTATAATGAGTACAATTTTATTGTAGCCATTGTAAAACTATCCATTGTTAATATAAATTTTCAAATATATATTGGTACAGAATAGGATCGAGTAATCAAAATTAAGTCAACCCTTGCATGCATATTTGCCTTCCTTGTTTCTCTTAAATTTGTATTTGGTGACGATGCAGATGTTAGAGTTTTTACTAGAGCAAGGTGATAACAAGATAGATAAAAACGCTATGAACGAGAAAAACAAGACAACTATGGATATTTTCGACCTAACAAAAATTAGGAAGGATTCTGATGAGGATAGAAAAGCTAATGAGAATAATTTAGCACAATGCTTGTGTACTATAGTAGGATGGTGTGGTTCATCAAAAGACGCTCAAGAAAATAAATATAGCGAAACTGATCAAAAGATCAAGACATTACTTAACGATAAAAATGCATTACGAGCAAATGGTGCTGAAACGCAGGGAGGACGAAAAATGGTTGGAGGAGCAGAACACAGCTCTAATGGTTGTTGCATCTTGTATTGCGACCTTGTCATTCCAAGTCGGAATTAATCCACCCGGAAGTGTTTGGACGGATAATGAACAAGGTCATGTGGCAGGTACGTCCATAATGTCATATGATACCGATAAAGATTCATACAATCTAGTACAAGTTAGCAACACTGTTGGGCTCATGTCATCGCTAAGTGTCATCCTTCTCCTTATTAGCGGCCTTCCTTGCAAGGGACATTTTGTGTTCATTTTGAGGGTTACTTTGTGGATTGCTGTGACCGCGAGTGCAGTTACTTACTTTTACACGATAGGGTACATTACAAATGAGCTTGGAGACAAAGCTGTCTTAGTCGATGCTATGGAATATTCTGTCGAGGTATGGCTATGGCTCATGATGGTGATACTCTTTGGACATGGTGTGCGCTTCATATGGAAGATTATGGGTCATGAGAGAAGGGCAAATATTAAAAAAACTTTGAAAACTGATAAGTGGAGTCAGTATTGTTGATCATCACTTATGATATTAAATACCCTGCTTAATTATTGATCATCGCATTAACAATAAAATGTATCATCCTGTGTGTTTTAATTAAGATTTTACTTATAGTCTAATGTGTATTTACGGAACAGCGTATGTATGGATCAGTGTATGTATGGATCAGCGTATGTACGAATCAGCGTGTGTACTATTCGAGTTGTGAAGGTTTAATATTATTTATCGTTCTTCTTGTACAAAGGACAAACATTGATCTTCTGCATTTTACAAAGAGGTATCGCTTTCTTATGTTGGCCTGAGTCGCCCCATATATTTCTTACAATATGACGGGAATGTATTTCAAATTTAATTTGTATTACTTATACTCAATGAGTTACAAGAAGCTTAATTTTGCAGTCTCTTAAGTTAAATTTTTCAATGCATTACAATCAAAGAAGGTGCTAAACTTTGAACAAATCAATAATGGTTGTCAAGCATGTTGATGATTCTTAGTTGAGATGAACTACTACAACAAGGGAGTGAATTGTAGTGAGTTCCTAATGACCATTTTTCGCGGAATAATAAAACATATTAAAGTACATAGGAACTTGCAATGCACACAGGAATTTTACGAGGAAAACTTCCATGGCCCAACTAGAAGTAAAATCTCGACCCTCCAAGCGATTTCAAACCAAATCAATCCACTATAATAGGGCAACACACCTAGTTACAACCTATTACGCACAGACCTTTACTCACAAGTTCCATACTGAACTTGCTACACAGTAGAACCTTATTCTACCCAACTTAAGTCCCTAACCTAAGTTCATTCCGCATTCCCAGAATACTCACAACTCAGCCTCACACTAGAAGCCTACCAAATGTATGCAATATATCAAACACTCACCCAAAAACCCAAAACAATACAAACACTTGATTCTAATATGTGACTGGAAAGCTACCCATGAAACCCAAAACTAATGTGACAAAGTTTTAAACTGGGCAAACTTACTGTTAAGCACTCTTCAGATTTTCACGCATAAACTCACAAGTTGTATCAATTATGATCACTCCTTTATATACAAGAAACACTTGTATGTAAAGTAGAGTTTTCAAAAGATAGAATATTGAAACTGCCGTTTTATAGAACCCAACGTGAAATAAATCTTTTTATAAAAATCTTTTGGAAATTCGAACAAAGATAAAATTTAGAAAAAGATTATTATTTTGCAAACCAGATTTTATAAGATAAAATCTCTCAAGGATCTTTTCCATAAATTAAATTTTATCTTTTATAAACTTTCCTAAATTACTAAGCTTGCGAAGCTTTGCCACGTTTCTAATTTTATGCATAATTAACCAACACATGTTTACAACAATCTTTTCAAGTTAATTACTGGATGACCTCCTCAAGTCTTGCATTGTATGAATACTTGGGCTCTTCGCAGACCAAGACTAAGTTCCTGCTGTCTTAAACTCTCCAGATCCTTGCTGGAACTCGCATACCAAGTTTTTATGGAACTTGCTATCTTCAACGCAGTCCAAGCTAGTCTCCTTAGCTTGTTGTCCATCTCCTGTTTAGGGAACTTCTCTTTGTGTTCCTGTTAGGGATCACTTCTAGATCCAATGAGAAACTCTTCTTCTATTCTCTTTATCTTTAATTTATTTCTCCCTGGATCTTCATACATAGGTTACTCTTCCACTCCCTGAGTCAACTTCACCTGTTCTAATTCAACACTTGGAGAAATCGCATTAGTCGAAGTTTTCTTCTTCCATCATCATCAAAACTGATTAAGGTTCAACAATGATGATTATGATTACTATAATCTAGGCCATGTTGAGGGTTCTTCTATAACTGCAACAAAAAAATCAAAGGCATAACATCGATAAGTTATAACTAAAATAAATGTAGGTTCATATCTTCATTTTGACCATCAATCAGTATACTATTTTCAGTTATGAAATTTTTTAACCCTTTGCGTTTCATCATCCATTTTAGGAATTTGTTTATTTGAGAATTTTTAATCTCGTTTGGTAGTTTTATTTACAGTTTGAGTTTAAAATAAGAGAAATTAGTGTTTAGCCCAGGCGTTGTACCGGGTTGTTACTTTAATTAAACCCTGTGATTATATTTATTTAATACTTATGATCGGTGTCTTTTTTTCTTATTTTAATTAGACTTTATGAGTTGCGATTATGTACATTAAATTTCATGTTTGTAATTGGCTTATGTGGTTAAATAATCATCCTTCTAATGAGAGGTTGGGTGTTCGAATCTCCTTATCTATATAGTTTTACATGGAGTAATGATGATTGAGTGGGTGACGTAACATAATAATCAAGGCTGATTAAGTGGTGAAATGGCATAATGAGAGGTTGAGTCAGTGATGTGACGACGTGACATAATAATTAAGATTGATTCAGTGGTGATGTGACATAATGAGAGGTTGAGTAGGTAATGAGTACATTGTTATTTTTTTTTTTTTTTTTATTATTGCGTCTTAGTTCAAGTCCTTTTCAAACTAATTGGCGTAGAATTAAACACAATAGATATTGACATCATACATTCATACTAATGCCTGCAATACTAATGTAAATGTGAGTTATGGGCTTTTGGACCTTGGGTCTAAACAACTGAAGCCTTAAATAGGCCCTACAAGAATTATCAATAGTCTGATTTATGTACTTCAAATGGTTGGTGCGTAGAGCAGATACTCCTTAGAATTTGTTATATACGCTTGAGTGTACCGTACATCCAACTAAGCTAAGGTTAGTTTTGCTCTTCATTTGATGATGAAATGAAAAACAATCATCAAAATGAGAACAAATACTCATAGGGGTATAACAACCTCTCTATACTCCCTCTATTTCAATTCGTGATAAGCGAAATAGTAGAGTATGCAAGTAGTTAGAAAAATTATAGGGTGGGATCTAAAAGAGGGTTTTTTTTTTTTTGTTTTTTTTAATACCAATAATATAGTTAATAGTAAAGAGAAATAATAGAAAGTAGTGTAAGCGGGATTGGTAGGACAGAGAGAGAAATAATTAAATATTTGTGAAAGCGAGGTTAATAGATGAGAGAAAAAATAAATTAATAGTTGGTGCTTTATGAAACATAAGTAAAAAAATAAAAAAATAAAAAAAAAAAGTGTTGTGATTATTATGAAACAGAGAAAATAATATCTATATCTATACTATCTATTAAAAATGTTTCTGAAATCGTTTATGTGTCATGTGGCACCCTTTTACACTAAAACTGCCACATAATCTTTCAACATATTAAGTTAAAAAATGCTTATCACAAGATTTGAACTCAAGATCACTAAAATATAAATTAAAAACATTATCATCTCAACTATTGATTAATCATGCTTTAATATTTGACTCACAAATATATATACTCTTATGTATGGATTGGAGAGCATTTGATTATTTATACACTACAAGAAAACAGCTTGATTCCGACGGAAAAAATTCGTCGAAAACATTTGAAATTCCATCGGAAAATGTGTCGCAAAACCCTTTGTAGGAAATTCGACGTTTTTCGAGGGAAATTTCGTCGAAAGACCTTTTTTCGACGGAATTTCCGACGGATTTAATTCTCTCGGAGCTGGTTTTGACTTTCATCGAGATTTCGTCACAATCTTCCGACGAAAGAGATTCCGTCATAATATATTTCTTTCGACAGAATATTCCGTCAGAAAGTAGTTCCAACGGAATATTCCGTCGGAAAGTAGCAGTTTCCGACGGAAAATTCCGTCGGAAAACCCTGTAAAAAAACAAAAAAAAATCTGGATCCACCCCACCACTAAACCACCACCACCGTTTTACCACATCCACCAAACACCACCACCGTTTAACCACATCCACCAACCACCACCACCGAATGACCACATCCACCAACCACCCTAACCCGGACCCACCTAACCCAGACCCACCAAACCCTAACCCCTAACCGGAACCCACCCACCAGACCAACCAAACCCTAACCCCTAATCGAACCGACCCACTAGACCCACCAAAAACCACCCACAACCACCCAAAACCGCCCACAACCACAACCACCACCAACGAAACGTGTAAAATTAAAAAAAAAAAAAAGAAAACATACCTTAAAAAGCGAATTTTGCTTCGAATGTCACTCGAATTTGGTTTAATATGGCCAAATTCGACCATGAAACCTCTAGATCTAGAGGTTTCACGGTCGAATTTGACCAGAATAACCATTGGTCTCGGGAGAAGTACGGAACCTCCATCATGAGACGCCGGAGAGCAATCAAGAAGCTCAACTGGCGTTGTGACGCCGGCGACAAAGTAAAGCAAGGACAGGAAGGGAAGGAGAACAGGAAAGAGAAGAAAGAAAGAGAAGGAGAAGAGAGAAAGGAGGAGGAGAAGAGTTGCGAAAGAAGGAGGAGAGCAGGGAACGAAGAAGAGGAAGGGAAGGAGAAGAGGAAAAAGAAGAAAGAAAGAGAAGGAGAAGAGAGAAAGGAGGAGAAGAGCTGCGAAAGGAGGAGAACAGAGAACGAAGAAGAGGAGAGAGAAAGAGAATGAGAAGAGGAGAGAAGAAAGAGGGGCGCTTGGGTTGGAGAAGGGGAGTAACTGGGTTTTATTTGGGTAGGGTTTGGAAAATGATTTTTTTTTTTTAATTGTATTCCGACGGAAATTTCCGATGGATTATAAATCCGCCAGAAAATGTAAATTCATTCCGTCGGAAAGCACATATATTCCGACGAAATTTATTTCTGTCAAAAAGTTCCGACGGACTTTCGACGGATTTTTTGAATTCGTCGAAAATTATGCTTTTTTCGACGGAATTTCGTATCCGTCGGAACAAGTCCGTAGGAATCAAGCTATTTTCTTGTAGTGATATTTTTTTAAAAATCAATTCTATTATTTGCTAATAACTCATTAAGATAATAAATGTAGACTATTAAAATATTGTTAAAAAAATTACTTTAGTTGTTTAATTATTTTGATAATTATGAAATACTTTTTGCTTTCAGTATATCAATATAAAATATAGTATGTTTAAT